GAGGAATCCGTCCCAGAAAAGAGTGGGGAGCCATTTTTTTTAACCCGGCGGCCATTTTGAGACCGCCAATCAGCTGGCCGAAAATCATCATTTTGCGAGAATCAGTTCCCGAAGCAGGGAACCAATCATCGCAAAGCGAAATTCCCCCATTGAAACCATTGTAAAGCGATAGCTTTTGCGATCGCAAAAAGTTCATCGTAATGTGATTTCGTCGTTAAATGGGGCGCTCGACTTGCGAGGCACCACTGTAATTCTAAAATCAGCAAACAAAAACTTTTGATTTTCAGTGTTCATATTGCTGGAAAGGTTCATTTAGCAAAAATAATTCCCGAACTATGCAGTTATTGTTGTTTATGTGCCATCAACTCACCTGACCTATGAATAATCTGCTATCTGTTGCAAACTCAATGTCTTTGCTTCCTTTATCTAGTAAATCCATATTATATTCAGACTTCTGTTTTAACCATCTAAAATGATTCTCTGTAGTGTTTTTGATCTGCTGACTCTTGAATGATGCTTTAAGGCAGCAGCTTTATACAAAGATGCACTATATTGATGGTTGTTGTGGGTTTTTTGGGCTCTTTGGCCCTGTTGTGAAGGTTGTTCTTCCTTTCGCCAGTCTCTGTGGCCGGCATCTTCAGAGGACAGGAGTCAGAACTCTGTCTGTGCTCTGGGCAGAGCGCAGACAGAGTTCTGACTCCTGTCCTCTGAAGATGCCGGCCACAGAGACTGGCGAAAGGAAGAACAACCTTCACAACAGGGCCAAAGAGCCCAAAAAACCCACAACAACCATCAATATAGTGCATCTTTGTATAAAGCTGCTGCCTTAAAGCATCATTCAAGAGTCAGCAGATCAAAAACACTACAGAGAATCATTTTAGATGGTTAAAACAGAAGTCTGAATATAATATGGATTTACTAGATAAAGGAAGCAAAGACATTGAGTTTGCAACAGATAGCAGATTATTCATAGGTCAGGTGAGTTGATGGCACATAAACAACAATAACTGCATAGTTCGGGAATTATTTTTGCTAAATGAACCTTTCCAGCAATATGAACACTGAAAATCAAAAGTTTTTGTTTGCTGATTTTAGAATTACAGTGGTGCTTCGCAAGACGAGCGCCCCATTTAACGATGAAATCACATTACAATGAACTTTTTGCGATCGCAAAAGCTATCGCTTTACAATGGTTTCAATGGGGGAATTTCGCTTTGCGATGATTGGTGCCCTGCTTCGGGAACTGATTCTCGCCAAATGATGATTTTGGGCCATCTGCTTCGCGGTCTCAAAATGGCCGCCGGGTTAAAAAAAATGGCTCCCCACTCTTTTCTGGGACGGATTCCTCGCTGCACGGGCAGCGAAAATGGCCATGCTATGGAGGATCTTCGCTGGACGGTGAGTTTCAAGCCCATAGGAACACATTAATCAGGTTTTAATGCGTTTCTATGGGTTTTTTTATTTTGCATTATGACGTTTTCATTCTACAGCGATTTTGCTGGAATGAATTAACGTCGTAATGCGAGGCATCACTGTATAGATCAAAATCTCCAAAAGATGTTAGAATGAGTTTTTATTATTCATAGTATGACACACCCAGAACCAAACCATTTTATGAACTGTAATGTTGCCAGTGCTGGAGGCACTCAGGATAAAATTGGACAGCCATCTGTCAGATCTGCTTTGATGGATTCCTGCATTGTGCAAGGGGTTGGACTTGATGGCCTTACAGGCCCCTTCCAACTCAATTATTCTGCTGTATTCTGGAGTCTATCAGTTTAGCCTTGATTTTTCTAATCCAAGGCTAAATTTATCAAAGCTTTAAAAGCAAAATCAGCTAAAAACTGTAATTGCACCTATTCCTCTGTTTATGTTAATTTTTAAATCTCCAGATACTGCCTTCTCATGACAAAAATTTATTGCTTGACTATTGCTTTTAATATAGAGTGAAAAAAATGGTTCTAGGACTTGCTTTCTAGAATGACCAGCCTTTCTCCTTTTGGCTCTAGTGGCTAACTCATGTCCTAGTAAGAACAACAAAATAAAATTAATGCAACCCCTGTATCTTCAAACCTTTACCTATTTAGATTTATATCCTGAACACATTTACTTTTGAACAAGCTCCCAAACCTTCAAAAATGTTTTGTATTGGGGAAAATTGATCTATATATAGTTTCTCTTTCATCTTTACAGTGATTCCAAGGTTGGAAATGATGAAAGAGGTGGACTGTCACTCTTTATTTGAAAAACAGTTTTGAATCAGGGTCTGCTGCATTCAGACTGTTATACCATGGGGTGGATTTGTCCTTTTATCTGACATTTTAGTATGTCAGTTGTATAAATAATTTTAGTGGTTTGTAACAACTTCCAAGATAGGCAAGGGAAACATCCAGGCTGAGGGATTAGGTTTGGATCATCAGTTTGCATTTTTTGAAAGTTAGTTTTTTCTTCCTTGGCTTATTTAATGTCAGCAGTTGTTACAATGTGCCATTGGGGGACTGCAACTGTTCATGTGGAGGTTCACTGGCCTTAAAGTTTACTTTATCCTTGTGGTATAATTTTCTACTTCTGATTTTGATTTACTATGTAGACTATGTATTCCCAACTCATGCGCCTACTTTTAGAAGTACTGTATATAGCTTTTAATGTTTTCTCTGCTTTCTTGCTGATCTCACACTTTGATTGTAATGGACGATGCATACCTAAGCATCGTTCCTAGTCTTGTCACAAAGTCTTGCTGATTTCTTTCAAAATATCTGCTAGTTCCAATACACAAAACTCTGGATTAAGCAGTTAATTTGTATGTGCATAGTTGAGGTTAGTAACATTCATTACTGACATCACATTATGAATTGTTTTGTTTTATTGATTATGTTAGACTTCCAAGAATGTCTCTTTTCTCAGTGTCTAATTTCCAGAATTGTCTTCCTGGTTTCCATTATGTTATTTTCAGCTTTCTAGGAAGTTTCCTAAACACCCACATAATCTTTTATTCAGTACTCTTCATTAAATTGCTGAACAGTTATGTGAATATAGGATAGACACACAGATACGGTGTAGTGAATATAGTAATGGACCAGGAGGAGTCAGGAATGTAGGTTTGAATCCCTGCTTGGCCATGGAAACAAACTAACAATGGCAAAGCCACTCCTTAAATATGTGACATAACTTGGAAAGTCCACTTAGGAACCCTGTAAATCAGATACCACTTGATGTCTTTGTTGGTATTTTAGCCTTAACCGTAGACTTGGTTGGTAACTACATAGTAGTAGTGCCATGTTCTTTTAATCTCTGTGCATCTACTTAAGAGTGTGCATCCCTTTGATCCTAAAAGTGGCAGTTTCAATCTAGTTGTATTTTATTTGTCGTTGTATTCACTACAACACCCTGGTTCTGCTTTGATATAGTATCTAATATGAATTCTCAAAGCATTTCCTTTAAATGTTGCAAGACTACAGGTAGTTCTTTCTTCATACCTTCTGAAATTTTATTTATGATTTTAAATGTCCTCAGTTTCTCCCGGGTTTTTAATCTGGTAAGGGCATACCATTTTTCAGCTCCTTCCAACAAGCATTTATTGGTAACTTTAAGCAGGAACTAGATTTATGGAACTTTGACTGAGACAGCTTTTTTTGTCATCATTAATATCTGTTGATTTTTCCCCCCCAATATGGAATGTGTTTTAGTCACTGTGCATTCACCTAGTAGTAATTCCCTATTGGGCTCATCTATCCATTTTAAGAGCACTCAGTTTTGAAGATTACTGTAGCCTAGGCATTACGTAGTGTCTGTAAATAAAAGCAGATGGGGCATATCTCCGAAAACTGAAAAAGAGTCTATCAGGTAGCAATCATCTGAGGAATTGTATGGTTCATAAATAAATTAGTGCCTTCTTCATCATAAGTTCAAACTAAAGTGATGATTAGGGCTTTCTCCTGGATAAGAAGTGGCTCTGAGATTTTTTCCCCTAGACTTTTTATTATGTCTTGCCCATAAAATATATTATAATATCTTTAAAGTGAAACAATTGTTGTAGGCTAAATTTGTGCATTACGCTTGCATTGCAAATAATGAACTACACATATAAGGTATGGTGCACAAATTAAAAGTTCTGTATGTAACAAATGCAGTTTCTTTTGTTTCTTTGTTTAGTATTACTACTAATTTCCAAATCAAATACAGTTAACTTGGGTATGTGTGGAATATCTAAGGTCAGAGCAAATGCATATTTGCTAAATAGGATCAAATTATGACTGGAATTTCTATACACACCTGCCTTTCACTTTAGATTGATCACAAGCACAGTTTGTATCTCTTGTACCATGAGACAGATTGAGGAGAAAAGCATGCATTGTGTTATGCCTGGGATCTCAGATTGACTAGCACAGTCTGAAAAGAAGCTGTGGATGCAGAGAGCAAGATCAGCTTAATTGCTGTTCCTGCATCAGCATCAGCAGCATCTATAAAGCATCCTGGGAATTGCCTGCCCTATGTTCAGATCAAGCTGGTCACATGAGGCTGAATTTTCAGTTCAGTTCATTAGTCAGCCATTTTGATCAACACCCTGCTTACTGCGCACAACCAATCCTATTATCACTCGGCATCTTGGCTTGACTGAAGTGGGAAGAGAAGAGAAGAGAGGCTGATAGATTCCAGCAATTCCAGATACATTTTTGCCTATATATTTTATCATCTTTTTTAAAACCCTCTTTAAGAAACAGGGAAGTGTTTTTTTTTCTTCCCTCTTTTTTGATGCAGAGGCCATGTTTGCTGTGGTCATTTAGGAGTGATTCTTTACAGTCAAATTGAAGAAAAGAGAGCGTTTGCAGAAGACGACAGAGGATACAGAAAGAAGGGGTTTCGTCCCTCACTGTGCCTTTTGTTTCTCAGAAACAAGTACTGTGTTTGTGATCTGGAGCAAATCATTTCTGATTCAGCAAGGAATTTTTGTTTCCCCCCCCCTTTGTCAGAAAGGTTTTCTTTTTTTCTTTTTAGTTTTTGTATTTTGATTTTATTGTTGTACCAGCTGAGTCATCATGTCTGCTCTGACGCCTCAAGGTGATATGCCAACCCCTACCACAGACAAGATCACACAGGCTGCCATGGAGACCATCTATCTTTGCAAATTCCGAGTATCCATGGATGGAGAATGGCTCTGTTTGCGAGAGCTGGATGACATCTCTCTTACACCTGACCCTGAACCTACCCATGAAGGTATGGTTGCATTTTCTACTTAGGGAGGCCTGCAAGCCTGATTTTGGCTTTAAAAGGTTGGAGAGGGTTTTGCTCTTCACCCATGCTAGTGTGATGTATGCAGTAATATGGAAAGATAGCCTGATGCGATTTATATTTCTTTAAAAGCTGCTGACATGTTTTAAAGAAGAACTAGCTGAATCTTAAAGCGGCAGCAGTGCCTGTTAGAAGCTCTTTGTTTTCATTGGACTCTCTCTCTGTCTCTGTCTCTGTCTCTGTCTCTGTCTCTCTCTCTCTCTCTCTCTCTCTCTCTCACACACACACACACACACACACACACACACACACACACACACACACAGAGAGAGAGAGCAATAAATATATTAGAATCTGATGAAGGTATCTATTAAGCTCAGCTTAATAGAAGGTTTCTGTGAAGCTCATCTGAAAGAAGAATGTTGGTATTTCAATATGTGACTTTGATCTTGCTTAAATATTGGGGGGGGGGTTTAAATAGAAATATTGCCTTTATAAATAGGAAGAATCTCAGGTATATGATATATAATATTTAAAGGATGGTAGAACCTGAAGTATGTTTGAGGCCAGCTGTTGCAGCAGGTGATTTGTTCAGAAATTATAGTGCTTGGTTACATGAAAATAATTATTGTTTAAAAGGCTCTAATACTTTTAAGTGGAAAACATTGTGTTGCTAAAATGATGCCTTATTTTGGCCTGTTTTGGTCACAGGATTCAGCTTATAGGAAAATAACAGTGGAGACAGGAAATGGAATGGAATAAAGGTTTGTCATTCATCTCCCCGACTTCAACAGTTCTTCCTGTCAAAACAGTAAAGCATTTGGCTTAGATCTTATTATCATTCGGATCAAATAGGATGCTAATTGGATTTGTAATGGAATTGTTTCTGTGCAGCAGAGATGCGAATACACACAGTTTCATAGTATCATGCTTCAGTTTGATGATGACTGTGATGGGAACATTGGCATTGTTGCAGCCTTTTACTGCACAGTTCATCTCATGGTGAGACTTGTTTCTCATTTTGCAACAGAGAGTCGTAAGTGAGGCCCACTCCTCACCATTTTTCTAAGGAGATTTGCCAATGCTTCCCCCCTTTCTTTGTTCACATATTTTTTCTCATCTCTGGCCCGGAAATGAAACACAACTGTTGTGCTGTGTTACACCAACATAGTGCTGGCAGCGTCTGCAGCCCGGTGGTTCGTCCAGTGTGGGTGTTAGTGATAATGCATAACTGGTTTTATATAAGATGGCAACGTTCTATTTCACAATTTGGTGAAACGTAGAGCAACTGGGGTTTTGTCGCAAGTCACCAAAATTTAGAGGACATTTAAATTTAGAGTTGAATCTGTTGCTGAGTGTTAGGAAAATAAACAGCAAAAGCTCCTGGTCCTGAATTCACACTTTGTTGTAGTAGTAGAAATTATAAACATTATTTTCCTTTTTGGGGAATACCACATTCTCTTCTTCTTTCATGCGGGATTGTCCCCTGTCTGTGGCAAAGTAGGTGCCACTTGCCCCAGAAGCCAACATGGCTAGTTATAGCTCTGGTTTTATACTTCCAGAATAATTAAATGAGGTTTGTAAATTCTTGATAGTATTAATATAATATATGGCACTATTAATGTACAGTGGGGAGGGATTCTAACAGTTCCTCAGACTCTTGCCACCAGGAGTTGATAATCAGAACGTCGACATATGGGGATAATATAGAAGAAAGCCAGGAGTGAGAAAGAGGTAATGAGATGAACATGAGCGAACAAAATTGACATACTTAAGGTTTGTTCCAGCAGTGCAAAGATTGTCCATGGCTTAATGACCAGAATCCTGTTGCTTAATATGGTAAATTGGATTTGTGTAGGCCCATTGAATCAATGGGGATTTGATGAGTCAAGTCCTCTATAAGCGTTGTTGTCTTTTCCTTCCGTTTGTTGCAAAATTCAGAATTATTTTCATACCTTAGAATTGCTATCTGTCTCATACCTTTATTGAGAAGGAAAACTTAAAAATCCAAATGACATGATCTCTTTAA